GCAGGCTGGCAACAGCAGGTGCACGTACCTAGGAACTGAGCACTGAGAGGTCTCTCTAAGGCTGGGCGCACACCTTAGAACCATCGCAAGACTAAACGATGATGCGATGATCGTTGCGATGACCGCAAGCCGTGCCCCCCTGAGGGGCAGGCTTCCGATGACCGCAATGCCGAACGGGCAGTGTGCTTGCGCACACCGGCCCGTCCGGCTTTTATCTTACGAACATGCTACACACCCGCCGAACATCGTACAATGCTCGGCGGCTTTTCTAACATGTTCCTAAGATAAAAGTCGTGCGACCTTACAGTAGTAGAGGTCGCACCGCTTCCACACACCTTACGATAATCGTACGATCGCGGGATTTCCCGCGATTATCGTACGATTATCGCAAGGTGTGTGGGCACCTTAAAAGAGAAATGTAACTCTCCAGTATCTAAATCTCAAATTGATTTCAAACTGGTGCCACTGACGCAAGCCCAAAGATTTTCAGAATGACAGCTCAGAGTTTCACCCTTTCTTTTTCTAAAATACAAAAGATGAGTTTATGATGAGTAAACAGATACCCAACATGCCTAGGTTAAAAATTGCATACGTCCGTGAAACAGTGACAAAGTTCAATAGCTCAAAAAAGTCCATAGGCGAAGCTCTAAAAGACCCTACAAGTCATCAGAGATATGCGTAAATATTGGCAGGGGTGTCAGGCAGGTGGGCGGGAATTTAACCGGCCCATAAAAGCAATCTGGCGGCAGCTGAGCCACCAGATTCGCTGCCGCCGGTCAGCTTTATAATGTTAAACAGAGTCCCGGTGGCTAGTCCGTTTACAGGGCCGTGTTGCCAACGACATACTATGTACATCTGTGGACACGAAAGGGTTAAATCAACCAGTGTAATAAGACCAGGGCTTGGCAAATGCCAGGAGCGAGCTAGCCCATGTTCCTTAAAAATGGCTGCTGCAACTTTTTGAGGTACTCTCTAGTGGAGCTGGCTCGTAAAAAATCCTGCTGGCTCCTGGATTGGGTAGACTGGCTCTTGAATTCAATATTCAGTTGTCCACTCCTGCTTTGGACGGGTGTTCAGGTAGGACATTTTTCACGGGGGGAGGGGGAGCTCAATTAACCTGCAAATCTAAGGGACTAATAAATGCACTTATGAAAAAACAGATGGTTTCATGGTTAGTTTGAATAAATAGATCTGTAATAAAATCAATGTATCAAAAGCTTTAACAGATAACACTACCTGTGTAATACAGCTGCACAGAAATATTTTTGTGGCTTCCGCACGGCTCCACCTCACTTCATTTTAATGTTACAGCAATGTTTTATTGTGCAGCTCAGCATACAGAGAAGCCATCAGGGTGTGAAAACGCAGTGCAAGCACAGAGAACAATACAAAACATCAGAGGGCAGGGGAAATGGAATCTGGAAAACTAATTCCCACAGAGACAAAAGTGCATGTGGGGGCAGGGGTTGTGGGGAGCAATTAATCCTACTGCTCTCATTATAATCAATCAGGACCCCATAGAAAACTAATTTGTCCATTACAATAGTCCAACAAAGCCTAAAGCTACTGCAAGGCTCTCTTCCTGAGCAACCAGTGTTTCCCCAAGTTACAGGAAGTACGTTCTTCAGCCTGTTAGTAGGAGATAGTTTTACTTCTGTTTGCCCCTGTGCAGTGTGTACATACCACGGCCTCCTGCCATTATTAAAGCAGATCTAACGCCATTCACTAAACTCTCATATCAGATTTACTATGTTACTCTCATTTCAAAAGTTGCTTTCAGTCTTTACAGATCAGAAGCTGGGTTCACGCCTAGGCGGATCATGTTTGCATGCGTGTTTAGTGTGCAGTTATTTGCACGCTTATGCGCGTTTTGCATGGAAATGTGCAACCTGCTTCTGCCATGTGTTTTCGGACATTTCCATTGAAGTCTAGGGGGCACACATGCTCTGTTAGCTGCCCAAACAAGCTAATGTACCTTTTCTGGCGTTTGGCGTTTTCCTGCTGGTGTTTTGCTGCTCAGGTATGAACAGAGGCCATTGAAAATCATGGGATTTCTTGTGTTGGGTGTTTAAAAGTGCTTTTCCAACTGCTCAAAAACACAAGGTGTGAACCGGGTCTTATGTGTTGCGGTAACGCACGGTAAAATGAGTGTGTTGTAGTGCACTGCGTTAAAAAAAGTGCACGTCTGGCTTTGTTTCATTGCCATGTGCTTGTAATCCATTGTAAATGAATGAACTGCCTTAATGCAACGTGTGTTAACGCACAAGATACCACATGATAGTGCACATGCATTAATGTGCCTCAACGGCAGGCCAAGGGCCTGGGTGAAAGCGGTCTAAAAGAATACATGTTGACAGTGGCGTCACAAGGGGGGTGCGATGGCTGCGGCCCGCACCCGGGTGACACCATTGGAGGGGTGACACCAAAATGACTGACAGTCATTTTAATGTCACCCCCTCATGGACCGAGAGCCTGACAGTTTTAGGACAGAGGACCCGGCGGCATACCTTATCCTGCCAGGTGAGCGTCCCCTCCTCCGCTGGCCGCTGAATACAATAGCCAACAGTGGGGATTCCTTCCTCCATGCTGTTTAGTGCAGATAAGGGAATCAATTGGTTTCCCTCTTTCAGCCCTTGGTGAAATCTAGCTGTGTATGGCTAGCGTTAGTCACTAAGCAGGAACTAGAATATTCAACAATAGAAATCTAAAGGTGTATGGCTAGCTTTAGGTCAGGTACCCATGAGGCCCCATTCATACTTGTAGGGCGCCTGAACGTGCGTTGCATTTGTGCGCATTTTGCCTTGCGTCAGCACAGGGAAGCCCACTCAGTTCAATGAGCTGCCCTATGTGCGACAAACGCAGCAAAGAGGCTCGTGCAGCAGTTTGAACTGCAAGCTTCACGCGTTTTTTTAGCATTTGTCAAGCATTAGGGTAGGTTCACACCTTTTTCTGGACCGCATCTGGTCCGGAAAATGGTGTGAACCTGCCCACAGTTCCAGTGCATTCCAGACCAGACAAAATGAGACATGCAGTATCTGGTTTCTGGTCTGAAACGGACTGCACTGATGTTAACCCAGGCCAGAAATAGCATAGGGATACATTAGGATGGATTTGGGGTCCGGACACAATCTGGTCTGGTCTGGAGATTATCTGGATGTGATGTGAATCAGGCCCTCCATGTGCGAGCAAAGATGTACCATTAACAAGCAATGGCGCCGCAAGCGCGTCATGCATTTTGCAGCGTTGTGTGAACGCATGCCAATGCCAAAGTGTGAACGGGACCTGACACATGAATTACCAATACATTCTAATTGAATACAAGCAATTTGTTTTGTTTTAATTGACTAGAACATCGATCTGTTTTGTACAGATTTTATCATATGCAGAAACCCAAAACATTTACAAAGAAATGTACTTTACCAAGTAAAGCGGAAGAACCTCATAAACCTGCCCCAGGTACCCCCATCTACACATACAAGTGGTTGAGAACCTGCGCCCAGCACGATAAAAATTGAATGTAACTTCAGCTAGAATGTCACTTTTGATGTCTCCGCTTCATTTTGTAACCACTCAGAATAACTGTCACCTGATGGTTATGTATCCATTTCTTTCACCCACTCAGACACATCCTGTCTGCGGTATGAACCAAGGAGGCTGCAAGGGCGCAGCGCCATAGATGAGTTATCAGCTTAATCATTTACCTGAAGTCACTCAGTTACAAAGTTCACTAGGCTGTGATGGGAGGTTTATGTTCAAACGCAAGATCCACAATAAAGCAGTTACAGAGAACTCATATAAAGCCTCCAGTCAAAGACACCGCTCAGTTCCTCATAAGTAAATACATTGTATGGCATATTCCCAACTAAGAGTAACTGAGCAGCCATTGAAAACTGCAGCATGCAACCTGTAGTACTAAAAACATGTCTGAAAAGAGGTCTGTCTGTGCTGTCACCAGCAGCCAATCAAATCCTAGTAACATAGCAGGTAAGGTTGAATAGACAAGGGTCCTTTATTTCATTGTGTAACCTTTACTATTGCTATGGAATAAAGTACTCATTGCTTGGAAAAAACACAAGCACTCCCTTCTTAAAGTGACTCTGTCATCAGAAAAGTAGGGCACTGCCATTGCTGAACCTCTTTTGAAAATGTTAGCTGCCTGGCTGTGCTTGGCTTCAATACATTTGCGCTCAGTGTCCCAATTCTGTATCCCTGCATTTATTCTGGGTCATGGAATTCAGAAAACTCTGAAGCCAAAGCACCAGAACATCAACATGACAGCCAGGGAACTAAGACTCTTATAGAGAAGGTCAGTAATGGCAGCCTTTAAGTGCCACCAGCAATGGCAGCCTCCATGACAGGGTCACTTTAAGTGCCACCAGCAATGGCAGCCTCCATGACAGGCTCACTTTAAGTGCCACCAGCAATGGCAGCCTCCATGACAGAGTCACTTTAAGTGCCACCAGCAATGGTAGCCTCCATGACAGAGTAGCTTTAAGTGCCACCAGCAATGGTAGCCTCCATGACAGAGTCGCTTTAAGTGCCACCTAGATGTAACACAAGACATTGATCTAAACCTATCAAATTAAAAAACACGCACTTGCACATCTTGCAACCCCTCTATAGGTCCTGCACTGGCACTGCTGCCAATCTGGTAGGCAACCTGTACTTTAGAGCCTAGTTGCAAGCAAAGAAGTTCTGCAGCAGCATTACTAGAGGTAACACAAGACATTGATCTAAACCCATCAAACTGGGACACATGCACTTTCCCATCATGCAACCCCTATGTGAAATCTACAGCCCCTGCACTGGCACTTGCCAGTCACTGCTGCCAGTAATCCAGACAATGTGTCCTTCAGAGCCTGGTTGCAAGCAAAGAAGTTCTGCAGCAGCCAGGTAAGAGAAGCAAGCAAAGCGATCAGGTGTGCCCAGCAAGCCTAGGGATGGCCAGAACGCCTCCGGGCACCTAGACCGAGCGATTGGCAAGCATGCGATGAACTTACAGTCGCCTGTCCTGTGGCTCCAGCTGCCAGTGCATGGCCAGTGAGAAGCCGAACAAGCTCCCGGGGTCTCCTCCTTTAGAAATGACATTGTCGGTATCCAGGTTAAAGGCTGCGACCAAAGTTCCGGAGAGAAGAGCAGCGCACGTCAGGTAAAGCCAAGCCATGGTCCCTTTCAGCGCCGTGTGGGTACAAGATCCGCGTCCTCTGGGCTTTTCTCACGCTGGATTTCCACCCCCTTGCTGTGTCTTTTTATTCGTGCCCTCCCTCCCTGTGCCCTTTCCCCTGCACCCGTCCCACTCCGCTGTGCTCAATGCTAGCCTTGTTCTCTGGAGAGATCGGGCTCTTTATATGAAGCGCTGGAGCTGTCACAGACCCCGCCCTGCAGCTGCTGCCCAAGTCGTGTCTGAAGCCTTGAGGGAGGCTGCGAGGTCTGTTCTCTTCTTCAGGACTTCCCTGCCCAGCCCACCTCTACTTCTAGCTCAGATAAGGGGCTGAGTGAGGATCAGTCACTTCTGCTGAGCTTTATGAGCGCTGAGTGATCTCCAGACCCAGGGAGGGGCTCATAAAATGCAGAGGTCTGGGCAGGCAGCCAGGAGAGGCTTGTCTATGTGCCTCAGGTAGCACAAAATCCGGGGTGTGGAAAGGCTGCAAGCTCCCTTATCCGACCAGTGTTTGCTGAGAGTACAGGCAGGTGCACAAGGACTTTAGGCAAAGAGGAAAGTCAAATGCAGCAAGCTTTTATAATCACTTGTCTCTGATGAGCTCATAAATTGCCTTATGCTGCCTCTGAGTTGGTGCAAACTTCTTTTCCTTGCTGCCCTATTTGGAGGGACTGCCCTACTTTTGGAGGAATTGTCCTTCATTTAGAGGGAATGTCCATCTTTAGGAGGGACTGTCCTTCATTTGGAGGGACTATCCCGCTTTAGGAGGAACTGTCCTTCATTTAGAGGGAATGTCCATCTTTAGGAGGGACTTTCCTTTATTTGGAGGGGCTGTCTTCCTTTAGGAGGAACTGTCCTTCATTTAGAGGGAAGTTCCATCTTTAGGAGGGACTGTCCTTCATTTGGAGAGACTGTCCTTCAGTTGGCAGATGCGTTTGTTTGTTGAACTCTCATTGGCTACTCCAATAGACTGTTTCAATGGACAAAGGACAGATGCATCTTAACGCAAATGCATGTCATTTTAAGCATCTAGAAGCATAAAGAAAGCATCCAGCCTGACAGATTTTTGTAGACAGAATGAAGCTTAAGACTAGGTTCACACCTAGGCGACTCCTGACCGCGCGTTATGTGCACGATTGTCGCGCGTTCAGGAGTCGTCAAGCTGTGAACCGATCACGCTGTGGGTGCCATTATTTTCTAATGGCACCCCATTCGCGCGGGGTGGATCGCGCTGTTTCCCGCCATGATTCTGCCCGTACAGGTGAACACGATCGTGGCTAAAAAAACTGCAGATCGTGTGTCGCAAAAAAAGGTACTTGTACCTTTTTTAAGCGGATGTCACCCCACTGAAATGAATGGCGCCGCGTGGCAATCGCTGTGTGCACTAGCACACGATCGCGCGTCCCGGGTGTCATGCGGTGTAGTGCAGGTGTGAACCTAACCTCAGAGCTTGTTCACATAAGCAGCGTTGGGCTGTGTTGCCCAATGCAGTCCCAAAACAAACTCAAGGCAACTGACCTTATGTCCTATGATGTGCTGCATTTGGGCACTGAAAGAAAAAATGATATGTAGTATTTTCATACAGCATGTTCCGATGCAATATAATGTGTCGTAGCATGCTACGTCATGTTAATAAAGTTTTTACAATAAAAAAAATAGAGAGGTTGAGCGAGCTATAAGGTGCGCATTACAGTGTATTTCTCTAACTCTAGACTAAAAGTGACATTAAAGTTAAAAAAAATTTTTCCCCCCCCCCACAAATATAAGTGAAAGCACTTACCTTAAATGATGTCTCTTAATCCGATCTTGTTCTTTCCTGATGTTTTCATCTGTCCCTCCAGCGCTGCGGCGGCTCTCCGATCCAGCACTGACTCCTCTGTCCTTGCTGGCACTTCCTGTCCCACGGTGTCTGCTCCCGGCCAGCCGTTTATACACAACGGCGGGCCGGGAGGTAGTTAATTGGGGATGGGGTACGGCTGTGTGAATTGCCTAAATATTTTGTTATAAGCTATAAGCTGTCCCTCTCTCATATCAGAAGGTTGGCGGGTACGTTTTTATATTTCCATTGACTTTTATGAGGATAGAAAACAATTCTGAACAGACAAATGCGCGTGTATACAAGTCTTAAATGAGCTGGTTGGAGCACCCTTTCACACCAATGTGCATGTAGTAACGTGTGTTTTTCACATGCCTTTCACAAATGTTCCTCTGCTTTTAACACACGTGTTTGTGCATTTTACGGCACACGTCTTTATCGGAGGAAAATCGGCATCTCCTAAAGAAATCTGCCCCTAGCACAGTAATGGTTAGTAATAGCAAATAAATATAGGGCACATAACAATACATTGAGGGGATGTTACCAAAACTGGAGCAGCTGTGCATGGCAACCAATCAGCTTCCCTTTTTTATTTTCAAATCTTAATGAGCAAACTGAACAGAGAAGCTGATTGGTTGCCATGCACAGCTGCTCCAGTTTTTGTCTCCAGTTTTGATAAATTCCCCCCATTAGGTTCAGATTTAATGATTGAATGATACAATGCCCACTACTGAGGGGTTTAGGTAGACCTAGAGTTTAATTCCTGACAAGCTACAGCTTCAGTAAATACACACATGAGAGCTGTTTGGTCCTGAGCTTTATAAAGCTCTGCTACAAAGCATAGTCTTACCTGGCAGGGGAGGGGACCTGATCCTTCTCTACTGCAGTTTCACTTTCACTGACAGGTCTCCTCACCACCCCCAGCCTGTGACTGGACAGTGAAAGGAAAAGCAGCACAGAGATGATCTCATCTCTCTGCTGCCTTCTCCTATCAGCATGCTCTTAGTAATGCAACACACTTCAATGGCTCCTTGTGCTGCAAGAAGCCGATGCCATGTCAAATTTTGGTACCTACACTGTTTGCATTAAAGAATGCCTTTATTCGCATGATGTATTCATATTTACAGAGCTGGATTCATGTGTGTTTTTTATACTGTTTGTCTGGAACACAGCTTTAACTGCATGACATTTGGTTTGCTAAAGCACTGCACATCATAAACAATTGCCATGCCCTCTTGTATGAAATAATGTTTTTTATATTATATATACACCAATCAGCCATAACATTATGACCACACACGTAATATTGAGTAGATCCCCTTTTGCTGCCAAAACAGCCCGTTGTCCGGGCAATGAGGAAGCTACAGGTCCCTGGGAACTAATAGGACGGCGAGGAAAGCAGGTGGGCACGCAAGGCCCTCCCTCCTTGATGATCAGCACTTGAGGTGGCTAATAGGCCTCGGCAACGTCACGTGCATGAGCACGTCACGTATGCGCGCACCCGCAACCAGCCGCCGCTGGGCACCAGATCACCCCAAGAAGGACCCTACAATCCCCGCCGGGCCCACCGGACCCCAGGTAAAAGGGCACCCCTGGTCCCACAACACTTCCATATGAATGGTAGGACCTTTCCTTCTTCCCATAGTGCATCCTGATGCCATCTCTTCCCCAGGTAAGTGACACACGCACACCCAGCCATCCACATGATGTATAAAAAACATGATTCAGACCAGGCCACCTTCTTCCATTGCTCTGTTGTCCAGGTCCGATGCTCTCGGTAGACATGGTTTATCATGGGCACCCTGACCAGTCTGCAGATACACAGTCCAATACACCATAAACTGCGATGCATTGTGTGTTCAGACACCTTTCATTACGTTTTTTAGCTATTTGAGCTACAGTAGTTACAGTAGTTCTTTTATTAGATCGGACTACACAGGCCAGCCTTGACTCCCCACGTACATCAATGAGCATTGGCCGTCCATGACCCTGTCGCCGATTCACCAGTTTTCCTTCCTTGGACCTCTTTTGGTAGGTCCTGACCACTGCAAACCAGGAACATCCCACAAGAGCTGCAGTTTTGGAACTGCTCTTGTCGCCTAGCATCACAATTTGGCCCTTGTCAAAGTCCATCAAATCCTTACACTTGCCCATTTTTTCTGCTTCCAATACATCAATTTCAGGGAGAACATGTTCACTTGCTGCCTAATATATCCCACCCACTTCCATTGTAATGGGATCAGTGTTACTCACTTCACCTCAGTGGGGTCACAAGGGGGTGCGGCCCGCACCCGTGTGTCAACATTGGAGGGGTGACACCAAAATGACCAACAGTCATTTTGGTGTCACCCCCTCTAAAAAGTCGGGCACTCTGTCATGGACCGAGAGCCTGACAGATACCGCTGGGTGAACGTCCCCTCCTCTCTCTGCCGGCATCCATCACCAAGATGGCCGCCGGCAGGCGTCAATTAGATGGTTGTGCATGCGTGATGACGTAATCGCGCACACGCGTAATGACGTCATGCGCATGCGCGATGACGTCACGACGAGCTGTCACGCCGTCTCCACTCCGGGTGACACCCGGCCGCGGGACGCCCCTTGCTTCACCACTTAGTGGTCATAATGTTACGGCTGATCGGTGTATATTTTTTACTAAAACCAACACAGAGCTAGCAAAATGTGACTGCAACAGTTCAGTATGTAATATACAGTATAACACGCAACAAACATGTTCTCAGTATAACACCGCAGTTATTATTTTCAAGCCAAGAAATGTGAATAAGTTGACTAGGCTGTCTAATTATTCCAGCACTTCTACCGGCTGATTCCACATGCACGCAGGACAAAGGATTTGCATGACAATCACGCACAAAGACAAAGAGAAGTAATGAAGGGGAAATTGTGTTTATCTTCTGGTCGGCAATGCATCAAGATGCCTGCAGTCCAGGGACAATAGCTTTAAACATATGTAACTTTCTCCAAGCCTGACCTTTTCTTAAACCTCCATTCATGTCCACAATCTATTTGTTCAGCGTTGCTCTGGGAACTATCCAGTCCAGTTGATAATAATAATAATCACTTGGCATTACTCACTTCCTGTATAGCATAAATCTCACTTTCAAGCTCCGCGCTGACATATAACTATCATAAGTGACAGAAGACTTTACCAAGACATACATTCAGAATCATTAGCCCCATGCTGTTTTCCATCCAACTTATGTGGAATTCTTTGCACAGTGGAATGGAATACCATCTCCCGATATGTACTTCCTGGAAACTTAAGGAAATGCTTCATGTCATCCTTTGAATTCTCTGACACACCCCAATATTAGGCGGATTGCCAGGATGCCACAGCGAACACTGGCACCAATGCTTAAAGTGTATTTAGACTTTTGCAGCCAGATTGGGGCAATGTCTACTTTACATTTGTTACATGTTCCCATTTACATTGAGAGAAAAAAAAGTAGGAAATTGCAGCTTACCTGTCTTT